AGCGTCCTCGTGTAAAACAATTTACCATCAAAGTTTTAACATGAGCTGAGAGACCAGGTGGATACAAGGGACAGAGAACACATGGCAGCACCGCGTCTGTTGTGAACTGTGGAATGAGCAGGGATCAGTGACAATGAAGAGGTCCACAGTGTTGGTATCACTAGGCGCGTCTACACATGCAGTTAATGCTATTTGGCTTTACTGTGCAGTAGACTAATTTACTGTGCAATAAGCGCCTGTACGTGTAGACAGTGATGCTTTACTGCAAAGTTGATTAGTCTACCGCGCAGTAAAGCATCTCGTGTAGACACCGCCACTGTGAGGTATCATTGTGTTGATACTGGAGGAGCTTGAAATCTTTGCCAGATTTGGATTTTTTTCAGCAAGAATACAACAGAAATTGGTTTTGCAAAAATATGGTTCCTTTCCTTTGACTGGCTCCAGTGTGTAGGAACGTAAATGTATAAGTTACCTCTAAGCTGTTTGGGTCAGGGAATACCTCTTACTTTGTCCTCTACAACGTCTACCACAAAGGAGTTCAAACTGCCAGGCTTGTTGGCCCTGCTGCAACATTTGAGATGTCTCCTTCTTCGGTGACTATTTCTCAAATATTTTCAGATACTTTTTTTTTTTATATATATATATCTGTGCAGGGATGAGCAATGCTTAGACATAGGTGTCAGTTGAAAGCAGCCATAGGGCATTTGCACCTCAGTAAAACAAATCTAAGGTAGTGGTAGAGGACTGTCTAAAGCAAGAAAGATTTCTTGGTCTCAAGAGTCCACAAGTTATTTGCTGGTGCCATTGAGTTACTGAGCTGTGTTTCTATAGCCGGTTTGTGTCAAGCCTATTCTAGGCCTAAACCCTTGGTAGGCCTTACCTCGGGACAGGTAAAAAAAAAAAAAATGAATGTACTGATAGTCTGATAATTTGGGGGGTATGAACTAATGCATCAACCAGCTAAAAATTTAAACTGTGTTACTTGATAGACATAGTTCAAGGGGGGGCGAGGGGGAGGGGAGAATATTTACACAAGCTTACAAAGTTTCACAAGATAAATGAAGCAGTCGGCTTTGAAAGGCTTGAGTTTAAATATGCATATTTTTGTATATTTTTATAACATAAAAAGTCCTGCATTAAATGATAAATTGGAGTGTTTCACAAATGTTCTCTAGAAATCAATGAGAATGAAAAGGGATTTACAAGAAGCTACATTCAAGTCCTATACAACTGAATTGAGGAAATAATCTTTCTGTAGACTTTCTGAACTGTGCTGTGGTAGAGAATTAGGACTCCACTACAGAATTCTAAAGTTTTTAGGGTGGTTCAAAAAGCCTATAGGAAGATGGTGATTTTCTAAGGACTAACCAACAAAAGACAGTTGTTGTCTGAATCCTTGCTTTCCAGTGGAGTTTACTTTGTCCCTTCTTTCATACTAATGCTGGGAAAGGATGAGTTTTAATTGCATCAGGACGCCTTTTGGTGCTAGAAATGCGTAACACAAGGGAACCATGTATCATCATTTTATTAGCTCAGCCAAAGGACTGCATTTTTTTTGGAATTATGCAATAAAGCTGTCTGCAGAAACCCTGCCTTTCTTCTACCACAATGGGTGATAATCCCACCCTATCCATTCATAGGCTTTTGTCTAAGCATGTGAAACCGGAAACCCTGAAAAAGCAGAAATGTAGCTGTAATTGGAATTAATCTATTTTTAGTGTATCAGGAAGCCGTCTGGTGCCCTGTCCGTGCCCCAGTTGAGATGCTGCTTAAATCTGTCCAGCATGACCTGCTGTGTCTGCAGTGGCATCAAGGAGGCCAGCATTTTTCCTTCTCTATAAAGTATGAGTTTATTAAATAATTGTTTTTTAATTATTTCTTCCATCTCCCCAGTAAGACGGGCATCCCGACTCCTATAGGAATACACAAGGATAGACTGGCTTAAAGCTTGCCTAGACCAGGTTAGCCGTTATCTGATGATGAGCTGATGACTTCACTTGGGTTTGTTGCATATGCCACACTTCCTAAAACTGAGCCTAGAAGGGTTTTTGTACTTGAAGGGTCAGCTTTATTGTGTCATCTAATATTCAAGATGCCAAAATTTGCCGTGCCCATGAAAAGGCTATAAGCATGTCACACCCTGAAACATAAGAGATGGCTATATGTTATAGCTATGTGCAACCTGTTGATTACCTTGCTGGCCCTCGAGCCTCAGCACCAAGCACGCTCCAGTGCTGTAAGCCGCCTTGTGTGTAGGGACTATATCTTTCCCCCTTATTTATTTCAGTGACTCACAATGCTGCAAAGCACCGAGCACAGAGAACGGCTATTTCCATGCTTCCACCACAATCCCTGCTACCTCCAACTGTGCTGTCAGGGCACCTCAGCTGTGCAGACCACCCCCACTGGCTCTATTCTTAGCAGCTAATAGCTGAAATAATTATGGCCGCTTAAGCACCGTTGGCTCCTTAGGTTTGGAAGTTAACAAACCCTCCTGCTCATGGAGGTGGGCTGCTTCCTTTTGCTTTCCCCTGGCGTGGCAGGTGGTTCTGGGTGTTGTACTGCCACACGTGCCAATCTCTTAACAAGGCTCCTTTTTCTAATACTGTTGCTATGAACCCTGCAAGATGCGGGGTGGAATCGGCCAGCGTAGCCGAGCGCTGCTGGACGGGGCTGCAGCCTGGGAGACGTGCGGTTCCCTTTCGGCCTGCATGTGACCATGGCCTTCTGGCTGGGTAGGAGACATGGATTGCTGCCTGCAGCTGGATGTTGCTCAGGCTCACTGGGATAAATCGTAGGACAGCTTTTTCTCCAGGCTAGGGCCACGGTTTCACCTCTAGGCTTGTTTCAGGTCCTGCTTTTCTTTTTGTGCAGCGGACCGAGATTGCATACCTGGGTGTGCGGGCGCTTTGTGTGCCTGCAGCTGCCCAGCAGGCATGGGCTTGTGCCATCAGTTTGGTTATCAGTGAGAACTGCCCTCCCAACCTCCAGATGTAAAGTCTCTATAGCCTCTTCACCTGGGAGCCCCAGCCGGTCTCTGTGAAGCAGAGGAATTCAATCTGCACGCTTTTGCAATGTACGTGTGGGAGCGGCACATGGGAGCGGTCAGTTTTGCAGTTGCGGTTGGTTGTGCACGTACAAGTAGGTGCACAGACTCAAGGCCTTCAATAGTCTTGGCAAGTTTCAGCTTTTCTGAATGTTTGCATATGCATCTGCTGTTCCTGGTGCTAGCCAGGGCCAGGAGCAAAGGCAAGAAAAATGCTGTGCACATGGCAGAGAAGAATGTATGTGCCTTGGGGTGGACATGGCAGAGGAGTGTGTGTTGCTTATGCTTTTGCCCTACCCAAATCCAGGAGGATCTGGAAGTCTTACAGAAGCCAGGTTCCCTGTCATGTCTTGATCAAACTAGTTTTGGTAAAATGAACTTGCCATGGTTAATCCAGACCCAAGTCTGATGAGATGCAGGTAACTTTTTTTCCTTAGGAGAGATTAAGCTAACCCCTGGAATGAAATACAACACAATGTTGACCATTTAAAATGTTTCCTTATAGGCTACATTATGTGCACGTTGACTTGTATCTTGGAATAGCATGTTTCCAGCTTCCTGGCCATCTCCATGTTTCTGTGGTCGTCGCTACAGCATCCTAAAACTGTGAGCCTGCGTGCGTGCATGTGTATGTGTGTATGTACACATGTGCATGTGGTATGTGTGATAAAATCTAAAAAAGATTTGAAAAGTTAGGTTCCTACTTATGTTTAAAAAAAACCCCTTTAAATAATTTCCTTTCGATTTCCTTTAAAAGCCACAATGTTCTGGCAGCATCTGTTTCAAGTGAACAAAACTCGTTTTCTTTTCGCTGACTGAGGGTTTGGCGCACGTTAAGGACGGTAACAAAGCAGCAAGCACCGCTCGAGTGCAAGTCTGGGAGTCAGGAAT